CCTGTCCACGCTGCTACTGTTAGTCTGCCGATTTCGACGGAGACGTTCCGGAGCATGGCTGCCCGCGCACCTCCATAAGGGCATGCAGCCCCGCAGCGCGTGAGCATTGTACAAGGTGTGTTGCGCACACTGTCCCACAGCCACTCAGAGAGGAGATGTGAGTATCTCCATTTTACAGAAAGGAAAATGAAGCAAACAAACAAAACAACTCTACAATTACATAGTGAAGGGCAGAGCCAGGACTGGATGGGAGTCTCTTAAATTGCCAAGTGGCAACACCATCCTCCCCTAAAGATGACCTTCAAAGCGATCTGCTTATCTCTGACACACATATTTACCAAACAACAGCACGGACACGCAGCTCAGCCCCACGGCTCAGCAGACAAAGTCTGCGTTGACAAAATGTTTTATTGTAGAATGAAACATTTCTAATCCTTTCCACTATTAGTTTTTTCATCTCCAAAAGTGATAAATAGTATCTACCTATATAAGGCTGAGAAGGTGTGACAGAAAAGAAAGTTACTTTATTAAATGCTTTCCGTGAATCCTTCAGCAGCTGAAACGGCCCACCGCCGAGAGCTACAGACACGGCGACCCGCGACCCTACCACCGACCTGAGAAAAAGTAGCTTCATTCATTCCTCATTCTTGGGCTGTGTGTCAAGTGTGATTTCAAAATGACATAGGATATGTAGGGGAAAATATATTATGGTGTAAAAAGAAAATTATTATTACATAGCCATACCCATATCTATTTCAAAAGTGATCCCATATTTTTACTTAAACTATAATCCAACTATCTCTAAAGAAAATTTTAGAGATTCTTCCTGGATTTCAGTGTTTTTTCACAGAGCACCAGTTGGTTGACTGATTCTTCTTTGTGGAAGAATCAGTCTTCTTTTCTGCTCTGCTCTTTCTTAAGTTCTGGTCACTTTTTTTAGGGGAAGCACCAGCCATGGCCTCTGCCTGTCCTGTTTTCCCTCTGCTCTGCCTCAGCCAGGCTTCCTGTCCCCTCCCCCTGAATATGGGTAAGTGGGTCTTCTAGGCAAGACTAGGCGAGATGGAATTAATGTGTCAGATGGGTGAATAAAAACACACCAGTCCATTCCTGACCCTGGAATAAACTCAAATAATACACCTAGAAATGGGTGGTACAGTAGCATCATGTTAAAAAAAGATAAATGTAAAAATATTTGTAAAATGTTCAAAAACTATCAGATACTATTATACTTATTAAAGAGTCTATAATATGGCCAGGCCTGGTGGCTCACACCTGTAATCCTAGCACTTTGGGAGGCAAAGGCAGGAGGATCACTTGAGGCGAGGAGTTCGAGACCAGCCTGAACACACAGTGAAACCCTGTCACTACAAAAAATACAAAAATTAGCTGAGTGTAGTGGTGCATGCCTGTAGTCCCAAGTACTCCAGAGGCTGAGGCAGGAGGACCCCTTGAGCCCAGGTGCTGGAGGTTTCAGTGAACTATGGAGATGCCACTGTACTCTACCTGGGGCAACAGAGTGAGGTCTTGTCTCAAAAAAGAAAAAAAAAATCCATAATATTATGGAAAGTTTTTGCCTGTTTTTCCCCCCATATATTATGTGTAAGAAAAAAACTCAAATGACTACCAATAAGTCACAGATATTTTGGGAGATACTTGAAATTTTCAGTCACTATGGATACAGGCATATCTGCCACTGATATTCGTTTTAAATGGTAAATAACATATCCTATTCTGGCTTTGTTTTGCCTTTAATACTCAAGAATCACACAACACCTACATTGAAGAGGCCTGATTTACTTACCACTTCCCTTTAAATTTCTTTCACAGGGAAAAAGAAAAACCCTACACATCAAATTAAACACAATGGAAGTTGGTTTTTAACATCCATCCATTAGGTGAAAAGACTAGGGCATCTCTGTGCAGGAAAATTTCAACATCAGTGTTAGAGAAATGGGTTTAAAGGAGAAAATACATAAGCTTCTGCAAAGGCTTGGCTTTGCAGGCTGCATTTTCCAGATATAAAAATAGATAGCTAAAATGTAAAATCAATTCTAATAGCAAGCAGATCATTGCACTCTCCATGCTCAGGATATTAGAGAAACCTGAATATCTGATTTAGTAGCACCTTGGGAGGAGGCAGACCTGAAAACCCTCCAATAACCTTGAAAATCTCCACTTCCTGTAGAAGAGAAGCAAATGCTCAAATAAGGCGACATCTACCAGGGCTCTTTGGTACCTATCAGTACAGCGATTAGAAGGCATCATTAATCTTCTAGGATGTGGGTTATCTTTCCTAAGCAGCAGCCAACAAGTGATGATGGGGTCAGTTGGTGTGCAGCGCCCCAGGAGCGCTGGCTCTCTCCCAGCCGGGGGCCCTCCACCTCCTCTGCTTGCCCCAGGCCAGGTTTCCATGAGGCTTGGAAAGCAGCTTGCTCTAGGCTGAGCTGGGGGGCCACAGCCTTCTACCCCCCACACTCACACTCATAACACTCTCTCACACATGCACACACCACTCACACTCACATACGTGCACTCTTACACACTCACACATGCTCACACAGACATTCACACACATACACTCTCACACACCCAGGTCAGCCTCCCTGTGCCCAGAGAGGTGTGCAAGTCTGGAGGCATAAGTTGGAAGGAGAGAGTTGGTCAGGGAAGGCAGCCCCAGAATCCTCTGGGCGCTCAGCTGTCCTGGAAGCAGCAGAGGAGCAGGTGAGGGCCCCAGGGCTACTATCTTGGTGCCCCTGGAAGCCCAGCTCCTCCCAACCTCCCAATCCCAAACCTGGTGAACACTGCTGGGGCCACTGCCACGTGCAGAGGAAGAAGCTGGGTCCAGATAGGGGTGGAGGAGCCAGGCCTGGACCTCAGCCTCTGGGCAGTCACCCCTGCTCTGCCCCAAGCCGCTGGAGCCCCTTTGGCACCTTAACCCTTCCACGCCTCCCACACCACCCCCTTTAACGCCCCCCTCACCCTCTGGGACTGTGCCTGGCCAGCTCCCCTCTGGAGGGCACAACACTACTGTCCCACTGAAGGGCTCTGCCGGAGGTAGGACACCAAGGCTGGCAGCAACACCATGGTCCCAACCCCAGTGGCTGTAGGGCATGGGACACAGGGCAGGTGAGCTGAGTCCCACAGGAGCCCAAGCTTAGGGCAGGTGGCGGCAGTCAGCAGGTTATCCCTGCTGTCACTTCACTCAGCTCATGGTGCAAGTCAGAGGGGACCCAGCTGGCTGCAGGGACCACTGCCCAGTTCTTCCAACAGTCGCCGCAGGGGCTGCCTGGGGAAAGTGTGGAGAGGGAAGAGGCGAGCGGGGGAAAGAGAGGGACCGTGGGGGGAGTGACCGGGAGTGGAGGGGCTGCGGAGGGAGGAGAAGAGTGGCTTCTGACCTAGTGCCACTCCCCAGGTCCCCTCCCCTGTCAGCATCCACCACTACAAATGCCTCTCATGCTAAAAGCCTCTTGTTAACTCCAGCACTAGCTACCAACTGGCAAACAGTAGACGTGCCGGGCACAGTGCCAGGCGCTTCCGCTACAGAGACGATCCCTGGATGGTGACACCACCTGTGGCAACGCACCCTGAGAAACCTTTCCCCAAATCGCTTTCCGAACTGCGGGTGAAAAGGCCCATATCCGCTGTGTGGAGCTGCGCTTCTCATCTACCCCTGTGCTTGTTAAGGACAAAGACCCCTGCAGAACGGTCCCGCCTGGAAATCCGAACTGCAAGGTAGAGGGCAAGGGCGGCGTGCACACGCGGGCCCCTCGCGTGGCCACGGCTTGCTTCCGCTTGGAGAGCCCTCCCGGGTTTTCCGCGGAGGTTCCTTGAGCTGACACCTCCTGGACGCTTCACTCTCTAATCATGTCACAAAAATCCTCGGGATAGCCGGCATGGACCTGCACCAAGCACGCTAGAGCGCCCTTTCAATTACATGCGCAAATAATGGAGCACAGGTGTGATCTTGAGTCATTGATCTCTGGCGACGTGCAGAAAGTTGGCCATTTCTGCGACGGCCACGCCCTCTCTATAAATGCAATTGCTACGTGGTTAAAAGTGTTCCATTTTCTCGATCTGGTGGGGAAGAGAGAAGGCAGGGCGCATCCTTCGGTCGCCCTTAGGAGTAGGCGCCAATGTCACACGCACTGCCTATCTGAGGAGGAACTCAGAAAGTCCCCCACTCCGAGAACGCTGCCCCCGGTTGCTTTCCACGCCCCGCCAGCCCTGTGGAAACGGCGCGACGCTCTGTCTGGGCGTCAGGGAGGCTTCCTTGTGGCGCTCCGGGAAGCCTCGCCAGTCCCAGGGAGTTCCAACCCGGCTTTCTAACCCTTTAAACATCCGGAGAGGGTGGCTCTGGGAGGGCGGGACTAGGTCTGGTGGGTCTGTAGCCCAGGCACCCAGCACTTTTGTAGTAGGGGCTTTTGTGTTGCTAAAAGAAAGTAAGAAACTTCAAAGCCAAAGCGTGTTTCCCAGTACCTCGCGCTCCTTTCTTTTTTAGAACTCCCAGAGTCGTTCACTTCTTCCTTCACAGCTGCTGGTGTGTGGGGTAGGGAGAGATGGCCTCGGTACCCTCTGGACGTCCTGCGCGCTGTGCGCCTGGGGACACTGGGCGGTGACTCTAGGGGGATCCTGCACTCTACCTACGATGGGGGTGCGGCCGCCTTCCAGCCAGCCAGGCAGCCTTTGTGCACAAGTCAGTACTCCACGAAGGAAAATCCACGTGTGGCTAAATGCAACACAGTCTCCAGCACACGCCGAATCCGGTCACCCGGATTCTGCAGCTGGGCGGTTAAGAGAGCCCGATCGTGCGCCCCAGAGCGGGAAGCGAGAGCGCCGGGCTGTGGCGCCGGACAGCGCGGCTGACGCCGATGGCACCCGCCGCGGCTCGGGCCTCCCGAAGCGAACCCCAGAGCACTGGAGCCCTTACCTTTGCTAGGAAGCCCCCTCCCAGCTGCCCCCTCGCGCCCCCCAAGTAACCTCGCTGAGCGGACCAGACTCACCTACGGCCAAGCAGATGGGGAGCAGCAGCCTGAAGATGAGCCCGCACACCACTTCCGAGGCCATCGCGTCGGTCGGGCGAGTCCGAGCAGAGGGGCGAGGCTCGAGGGTCCCTAGGGGTGCTGGGACACCAGGCCCATGCCCGCTTAGGGCCTCCTTTGCTGGCGGCTCGCAGCCGCCCAGGCCGGCCGCCGCCGCGCTCTCCGCCCCGAGGGCGCGCTCCCCGGGCTCTCCGCCGCCTGTCCCCGGCTCTGGCGGCCCCTCACCAGGCCCTTGGCAGCCACCTAGCAAGGCGCGCGCGCCCCTGCGGCCGGCCCATGAAGGGTGGGGGCCTGAATCGGGCGCCGGCTTCTTCTGGGGCAGCTGGGGCTGGGGCCCTGGAGAGGGACCCTTTGGCAGGTCCTGGGAGGCGGCGCTGCGAGGAAGGGGAGAGAAGGGCGAGCCGCCCTCACTCCTGGCTCCCGGGCGTCGTTCAGGGGCCGCCCCGGAGTTCTGTGCGCGGAGCCCGCTCTGCGGCCAACGTGTCTCGGCTCCCGGCCTCGGCCCCTCTGCCCACGCAGGCTGCCGCGCGCCGCCCCTGGCCCCGAGGCTCGCCTTTCAGCTCCCAGCGCCCGGGCGGCCCACGGCGGGTTCCCGAGCGGCGCGGCTCAGCCTCTGCGCCCCCCGGAGTCCGGCTGGAGAGACCCGGGCGGGAGCTGCGGGGCGCGCAGAACCATCCCCGACACCGCGGGGGCCCTGTGGGTCCGCGGGTGGCGCTGTCAGTCCCTCCCTCACTAGAAGGAAGCGTGAGCGCGTGGGCAGAAATGGAGACGACAGCGCGCAGCGGGTGGGGAGGGCTCAACGCCCTCCCCCACAGCCTCAATGGACAAAAGAAACGAGAAACCAAACGCAGTCCCCGTGACCGTGACCGGAGCCCCTGGCCCGCGGCGCGGCCTCGCCCTAGCGCCGCAGCGGGGCTCCCCGCGGGCGCGCACTTCTCCACCTTCAATGAAACTTTCGAAGCCCTCACTGGCGACTGGCGTGTCCCCGCGCCAATGGGACGGCGCGCGCGGAGCCCGCCCCTTGGCGGCTGGGGAAGCAGGCGCCGAGCACCGGCGCGGGGGGCGAGCCCGCACCCGCGCAGGGAGAGGGGCCGCGGGGAGGTGGGCTGCTCGCTCCCGCGCCCCCGCGGCTCTGCGCGCTCCTGTCGTTCTGGTTGCGTGTCCCCGCATCCTGTCCTCCTGGCGTGGCCCTGAGCGTGCCCAAGCCCAGGGAATTGTTTAGGGCCCCAGGGAAAATGCGCAGGCCCAGCAGGAGAGTAACCAGGCGCTCGACCAGGTTTCTGGGACTGTAGCCTCTGCTGGGTCCACACGTACCCAAAGGCATTGATTAAGAAGAACAGAGCAGAATTCATCCGGATCACTGACCCTGTCCATATTTAACTTCACCAAGAAATTTCCGTTCTGAATGGGCTCTGGAAATCCCGGGTTTTTCCCATAATGGGCACAGAAATTCACATGTTCACAGATCCACTTTGTACATTTGGGGGGAACCTCAGGTTTGTCCCTTGCTTGTCCGTGGCTCTGGAGAAAAAGTATGTTGGTACTGAGAATATTCTTCTTTTCTCGTAATACCCTCCCTTTTTGCTTGTTTTCTAGACAAGATCTGGAGAAATCTGGTTCTAGCTGGGAGACTCCAGTGCACATGGGTCTCTCATTTAACCACTCTTCAAGAGCAGGGGAGATGTGCTAGAGCATGGTCTTGACCTGTCAGGACGAGTACAAGAGTACCAACAAGGAGAAAGGGGATCTCTCTATACTATCTGCAGAGAGGGCCGTTCAGAGCTGGTATTTGCATCGAGAGGGCACTGTGGGGGGTCTGACTTCCATTCCACACCTTCCTTCTGGCTGACATTGGTTGAGGAGGACGGAGCTGTCAGCTGATGGAGCTATGCAAACCTTGGTTCTCTGTGTTAGCCCCTGGTTTCCTTAGTCTTTTAAATGCTTTTGTGGACATTCTTTTTTTTTATATGATAAGTAGTTTGTGGTTTGAGCTCAGGTACCTTCACAAATTCCCTGAAAATTACAGAGAAACTGTGAACTATTACTTTTTAAATGAAGACTCAAGAGAATCAAGACAAAAAAAAGAGAGAGAGAGAGAGAATCAAGATAGTTGAAATTTTGTGAAGACACCCTGAGACTTAGAATGAGTATGGGCTCAGCTATCCTCAAGAAGCTTAAAATCTGGACCCCAATTGTAGTCCTGCGCCCAACAGCGGAGCTAGAGGAGAGCACAGAACTTAAATTAGCATCTAAGCATTGACTGCTACCAAGAAGTGTTTTGTGTTTTGTAGAAGCCTGACGTAAATCTACCACTAATTTTGATGTTCATCTCTCTTTCTCTCTCTCTTTGTCTCAATCTCCCTCTCTCTCTCTCTATCTTTGTCTGGCACAACTCATTCTTGGGACCCAACTAAGAGGTAAAGAAACACTCCTGAATTTTAAATCATATCGAGTCTTCACAGGAATCCTATTTTCTCTGAATATTTTCTCATAGTGTTGATAGGCTTCCCATACTAATAACTGTCTTTATTTATTCAAAGTAACTATCTTGAACTTGTGAGTTAGGACACACAAGAATCTCAGCAAATAGGTGGTCTTACCAAATATACTTCTTGCTTTCTCTCACTATGTACCAATTTGGCTGTTCAGTTTTTAGAGATTTTAACAGCTACATCCCAGTTCTGCAACTTCTGAGGTATGCACTCAGGAGGAAGTTTTAATGGTCTAGACTACATCTGATAGGGTTCTTGATCCTGGCCACCTGTTGCAGTCACCTGGGGAGCTTTTAAAAAATGCTCCGTCTCCACACCTCCAGAAATCTTGATTTTATTGGTCTGGGACGGGGCCACCACACCTGTATTTTTTTTAAAGCTCTCAAGTGATTCTCAGGTATGCAGCCAGGGCAGAGAACCTCTGTCCATATTCATAAATCAGAATTAAGAAAACATTCCATTGGTTTTCAAAACCAGCATCTCCAAACCAAATTCACCTTTGTGGAGCTGTATTTTCACACTGTAGTTGACTTGGGCATACATATCAACAGCACTGGCATTGGCTATACCAGGGCCATTTACCATAAACTTTCCCTGCTTTCTGAGGAGCGGTATCTGATGTCTAGACAGACTAGTTTTCATGACTCACCAGCCCACGAAGGCAGTGAGCACAGTGATCAGGAGTGCTGCTTGTCTAGCAAGTTTTATCCCCAGTCTGAGACTCACCTTGCCCAAAATCTGAAAGAGTGCATGAGTTAGAGAATTCTTTGGGGGAGAAAATCAACCACATACAATACTTATAGGCAGATTATTTTGATAATTGATGAGTACCTAATGCGTTTGAACACAAGTTTGGCACAGGTAATTAACACCAGTCCCTCGTGCCTCTCTGCATCCACATTGACAATCATTGGCTTCTTTTGATCATTATTGAGACTTTTAAAACAAAACCTACCTGATGTGGAGCCTTACACAGAGACAATTTGTAGAGTACTTACAGAAATGCCTGATGCATAGTAATCATTCAGTGAATATTGGCTGCTATTATTCCTGTTAGTAATGTTGTTGTTGTTGGAAAACAAGGACTGGCCCTACATTTATGAAACAGTCATGCTGAAGCACTGCTCTGATGCTCAGAAAGATACACTGGTTTCTACCAGTGTGTAAGAACTGATAAACAATTTCCTAAGTGTTTGAGTTTTTAGCTAGAGAATGTGGTGTCACTTTGTGCCTTGTGTGCATTTCATCTCACCTGTTTAGGTTCTGTCTTTTCTGAGCTTGGTTTAATGCCTCACTGACTGACAAAATCATTCAGAAAGACCATCTTTGTCCCAAATGTGAATGTTCTCTACCATGCTCACTAGGCAAACACAGATAATAACAGTTTCACTCGTGTGTCATGGGTAGCCCGAGGTCAATTATCCTCTTGGATACTATGTTAGCTTCCTTTGAAAGATCTCAGAGGTGGATATTGTCCTAAATGGTAACTTTACAAAACAGCATCTCCCACAGGGAATGTGAAGGTTGTCAACCTGGCATTTTCTTCCTCCAGTGAAACCTGCCAAAACCCATTGGCGCCAGCCAGCCTGTGGAGGATGTGGCACCCCTTGCCAGCTTAATTAAGGAGGATGTCTTCCGACATTGGTAACATCTTTTCCCTTACATACATACTAATAAAATATTTTAGATATCTACGTGTCTATGTTTTCATTTATAATTCTCTTTGTGTCATATGGCACAATATTTACTAGAAAGTTTGTGGGTTTTTTGTTAGGGGCAACGTAGTTTTGGCTTTTATTCTTAAGAAAACTTGGAAGCTGAATGGCTTTCATCTTTTTGCTAATACATGCTGTGGTTGCAAATTTTTTTAAGCTATCAATTTAATGTTTACAGCAGAAGTATTTTCAAGATCCCCAAATTCCAAAGACCTAGACAACTTCTAATAATGTGTAGGAGACATAGCCTGGTTATATTTCTGTTAAAAAAGTTAATCTCCCATCTTCACCAGAGCAATGAACAGTGAAATTCGCTGTCTCTGACATCTGGCCTTTACACGGAATCTTCCTGCTGAGCCCGCATAACATTTATGCCACAGCCTCAGCTACCGTGTGTGAGTTGTAATATGGATCACGAATCTGAAACACACTGCTGATTTCTTGTCTGTTATTCAAGAACCTTGAAAAATCAACTAACTGACATGTACATGGGCCTTATCTTCCCAATTAGGTTGTAAGCTGTGAGGGCATGGATACAATTTAATGTATAAAGTAGACTATAAACCCATATATTGTTTCCAAATGAATTGTATTTTATTAATACTTACATGCTTCCATTACACACACACACACACACACACACACGAGCATATACACATGCACATGCACAGGCACACACCCATAACTAGATAAGAAAGATCTCATATGGAAATAAAGGAACATGTAAAATTTTATTTGTTTTTGTGAGGTAAACACATAAAGGAAGAGATTATGAATTTGTGAGGAAGGTGCTATGTTAAAGTTGGTGACTTGCCTGGGGCACCAAAAGCATCCAGGTGGCCAATATTAAAATGTGGAAACCACCATTCATTATTTACAGCCAACATCACAAGCAGAT